GAATATGGAGTATCCTAAAAGAGACCTTGCTGGAGCATTGGAAAGCTTTGGTCCCACAATGCTAGGGCTGATGTCCCGCCTTCTCTGCTTCCTGTGTTTGAGCTGTTTCTAGGAGTCTGTGATGCTGCATCTGTAAGATGGGATAGGCACGCTGCAGATAGAGTGCAGCATGCTGAAGCTAGTGTTGGTAAGGGCTGCACACGAAGGCTGTTTAAAAAAAAAGGAATGTTGCTGTTGTTATCACCAATTGTGATATCATGCTTTTTCTCCAACTGGTAAAGTCCCTTGGGAGTTCTGCAATGAGATTCCTTGCAGAAGGGAGAGCACCATGCTTAGCTCCTAGAGCAAGGACTGACAGGTGACAAACCTTGGGCAAAATGTGGCCTGCCTCCATTGTTATGTATAAAGTTTTAAGGTAACATAACCAGACCTGCATGCTTTCACATTGAAGATGGTTGCTTTTGTATTACAAGGGCAGGGCTTAGCGACTGTGACAGAGACCATGTAGCCACAAAGCTAAAGAGATTTAGTATTTGTTCCTTTGTAGAAAAGTTTGCTGAGCTCTGTCCTAGAGAAAGGTGTTGGGGTCTTCTACTTCCATATACAAACAGATTTGCATATACATGCACACCTCTCACATACAGTGCCTGGAACATGCAGAAAGTAACAAATCTTTCGTCCCTCTCCTGAACTTAATTCTGCTTTGGAATACATAGGATCATATCTGAGAAATGCAGAGGCAGGCACATTTATATTTTTATTGAATTTTATTCCTCTCTCATTTTCAAAAGAAGAGCTCATGTTTAAAGAGAAATTCTGATTGGCACTATAAACCTTATTTATGCTTTAATGTCTCCTAAAGTATGTATCCTGCACTATGTTTACTCCCTTACAGATGCTGATAAGCTATACATTACCAAATCCAAATGGATTTTCAAAATCCAATTTCCTTGCTACAGTCTTCCATTTCTCTGTTGACTTTTTTATATTTGACTTGCGTCAGAGCATCTGGGGATTTTGCCACATTTTGACCTCAACCTGCCCAGTGAAATAGCTTGTCTGCTCAAGAGCAGAGACCATAGGTGGTGGCTTTCTTTCCCTGCCCTCCTGTGATTCTGTGAGTCTCCATCAGGCTGGATGGTGGCTTCTGGAGGCAGCCTGAGATATTTCCTGGGGTGGAAGTAGAGGTGAAAATGTCAGTTTCTTCCCATGTGACTGTGCTAAGCTTGACATCAGTTGTCTGACACCACATACTCCTTGTGTCTGAGTGAGCTCAGCATCCAAATAAGTTTCTTTGGGGATTCTTTCAAATCATATATCTTCTTTAAGTGGTCTGACATAAATACCTACAGAGGGGAGAGGTTTTTTGTCTTATGATCTCTAGGGAAGACAGATACAATTTTGGGTGATTAACATCACCTATAAGAAGTCTTAAGGCCATGGAGGTTGGATAAATGTTTCCTGTTCAGGGTTCAGGGGATCTTGGATCTCTTCTCCTTTCTTGGTGGCTCCTAGTGTCCATTGCACTCCAGCTTATTGACATTTCTGCATCTCTGTGACTCCTGGAGGTTCCTAGTTACTTCTGATTCTCTAGAATACTTAGATCTTATGACAGGAAGTTTCCTCATGGCCATCTTGTTCCTGTGTACCAGGAGCTAAAGACTCAGAAATGGGAATGGGTGTGGGTTAGGAACTTGTCTCTGGCAGACTGTCACCTGCTGTCAATCTTGAGCATACAACCATTTTGATTCTTCATCTGTCTGAAAGGAAGAAAATCATCCTGAGGTAGATTTTCCTTCTTAGTAGTTTTAAACATGTTCTGTCTGCTTCAAGCAGGGTGAGTGGGGAGCAGGTATCCATATCAGATGCTATCGGCCATAGTGCTTTGTTTTTCCTGATGTGTGTGTTTGGGTGATGCTATCAGTTTATATTGAGAAGGATTATGAGAAGCAGTCATATGAGACTTGCATGCGCTCCTTGTGTGGATGGAGTCTCAGATAGAGGTGGTGTTTCAATGGGATATGAGGTTGATTATGGTTATTCCTCCAGAGGCTCTTGTCTGATCTACGTTGATGGACTGGTTGTTCTTTTCCTTGAACAGTTTGGCTTTTATTATAAGAACACAGTGTCCAGTACCTCGGAAGTTTTTTCTCTTGACATAGGAAGCTGGGAGCTCAGATAGGGTGCAGGAGCTCAGAGTCAGGCACATAACCACATTTAGGCAGATGGATATGTAGGAAATTAAAACATGATTCTACAACTCCCTCTTACCCTGCTTTGCCTTTTCTTTCCCTTAATATCACCATGCTGTACATCCTGCTCCTTTGTCTCTCAGGCTCATGCAACTGCATGATGAACAGTTAGACAGCATCTCTTAAATATGCTCTGCTTTCTAGGTTTGGCACCAAGCACAGATGGGAACTTAAATCCCACTGGACATATTTCATTCTTTGCTGAGCATCTCGGCACTCAATGGGAAAGTCTTGACTGTTCACCTGGCTGAGATGCAGACATGTGCGTGATATAGTGCAGCCCGGGGGCCTGCATCTAGAACTCCCTTGTGGAGAGACATTAAAGACATGTATAAGCCACCGCAAAAGCGGGCCAAAGGCAGGGTCTGAATGTCCTATGAGTAGCTCAAGGGAGAGCAGGACACTACCTCTGTTTGCTCCAACGAAGGTCTTCTTGTATGATCTTCTGTCACCATGCTTTCCTTCTTTGAATGCCACCACCTGCATCCTTGACCATGAAGACCCTTTCATCATCAGAGGAACTGAGCACGATGTGTCAGAGATTCTGTATGTAGCACCTGCCGCTGAGAGTTTGGCATGGTGGATGGCCATTGTAGTTCAGGTCTACTTCCATTTCATGGTTAGAAATCTCGTACCACTTCAGCTTAGTGGTTCTCTCTCCTACTTCCACCTGAAGCCTCTGTAGTGCATTGATTCGTAATTATCCGTTTAACTTGCTTGTTTACTACTGGTCTGCCTCACTAAGTTTCATGTGTCTCTCTGGAAGCCACAGTGTAGCCAGTGCCACCCCTGTGTCTGCTCTCTCAATAAGAGTCATTGTTGAATTAGCAAGTAGCTATATGGAAGCAAGTATTTTCTCTCCTCTTGGGCAACAGTCACTTCCCACCCCACCCACCCCTTTTTTATCAGACATTTTCTTCTGACCTCACTGCAGATTTCAGTTTTTGTTGCGATTCTTGGATTCTTTATCCATGGTCCTCTCAAAATGTTCATGTAGTTCCTTTCCTATTTAATGCAGAGCATGCCTCAACTCCTGCAACGCCCCTCCCCCTCCCTGGCCAATGGGTTGAGTCCTCTGTTGCTAAGCCCAGCATTCACTGGGGTGCTATCATAACATGCTCACATGACTATAACAGAATACCTGAGGCTGGATAATTTATGAACAATAGGAAAATTTTTTTTCTTCACAATTTTGAAGGGTTGGAAGTCTACAGCCAAGGAAGCTGCTGATACAAGGTCTGATGGCAGCTTGCTTTCCATAGATACCTCCATTTTATTTTATTGTATGTATATTTCACTAGCTTAATTATCATATAAAACACTAGATTTAATTTCATATATACTTTGTTCTCATTGATCTTCCTCCCCCCTTCTGCATCCCCCTGTTCCTCTCCTGCTATCCTTTCCTCTTTTGTTCTCTTATCATATGTATCTTCGTCTTGACCTTCCCTCCTTCACAGTTCATCACTTGGCAGAGGGATGTACACACCTTGGGGCCCTTTTATCAGGAAATGAAGCCCTTCCATGAGAGTCTCATAACCTAATTATCTCATCAAAATCCTTCCTCTTTATGACACTTCCTTGGGGTTGAGTTCCAACACAGGAGCTGGAAGAGGACACAGACACCACAGACACGTGGCCTGCAGTGGCTACGGCTCAACTTGTGATGGAGGCAGATGGGTGTTTAGAGGAGGACAGGGTGCTGTTGAACACCAAAGAGACAACACAGGGATGTGAGTGGGTGCGGGTGGCCAGCTAGGTGGTCAGTGTAGGCTCAGGACAGTGGGTGACAGCTCCTTTTGTGGATCAGACTGCGCTTCCTTTGGAGTATCCTTCCTCCTGCTTTTCATGTGTGAAAAATCTCCCTCTCCTCTAGAGCCCTGTTGATTCTCTCCTTCAGGATAGTGGGCTCCTGCTTCTCTGCTCACAGCAGCTCTCCTAGTTGGAGCCTCCATTCTAATCTTCTGTCTCTTTCAATGTCACCTTGAGTGGACTTACTGCCCAAGTATATGCTAAGTTTATCCTTGCCCAAATCAAAGGGACACAACACAATGTCAAGTGATAGGTGGCTTGAACTTTAAGGGAGACTCTACAGACACTCATTCTCCAAATGCATAGTTGTCTAATGTCTCACCAGTTTGTTCTTTAAACTCTGCAGAGCATGGGCTTTCAGTCTATTTGTAAAGCAAAGAGGTGGGGGGCTCTGTAGTGTGTTCTGTACTTGCTTTTCATAGTCAATTCATCCAATGACACACTATAAGGGGGGATATTCTCTTCCATATTACAGGTGGGGAAACTGAGACCCCTTCAGGGGTGATCCAGGTGGCCCGAACTCACAGCTCTGCAGAGCTGAGGTGTTTTGGAGTCTGCTGGTCTCCGAAGCTCCTGTTCTCTCTGCAGCATCCCAGCACCTTCTGCGTGTTGCAGGAAGCAATTACAGAGGCATGCCCTGGCATTCATTTCTCCTACTTAGAACAACCCATTGCTGTTTACTTTCTCAGGAGGGAAGATTGAAATCAATGTAACTAGCCTTATTAACTTTCTTAAATAGGAGGGCTTGCAGATGCCTTTCCTAAGAGCACCAAAGCAAATATCAAAATCCGGTTTGCCCGCTTTTGATATTTTTTCCCCTCCAACACCTCTCTGGAGTTTAAAATTCAAAAGTGTAAATGAAGGGCTGATGGGGCGGGGTAGTGAACCAAGATTCATGCACGTGGCTGTACTTACCTGTCTCTCCTTTATCTGTAGGTGGCTGTTCTTTTGATGAGCATTACAGCAACTGCGGGTATAGTGTGGCTCTTGGAACCAATGGGTTTACCTGGGAGCAGATTAACACGTGGGAGAAGCCAATGCTGGACCCAGCTGTGCCCACAGGTATGTGATTCATCATGTTTGGGGCTCAGATGGAAGTGGCTGTCTTTTGCAGTGGCTTGTGGGGAAAGACCTTCTTATAGATTGAGCTGTCTGAGAGGACAGTAGGTTGATATATAGGTAGAGAGTTTCTGGTCCTTAGAGGCATTTAAGCTAGGGTAAATTAGTTCCTTAGTTTGCAGTGAGAGTCCTAGGTTATTAGGATCCAGAGACCTTTGAGATTTCATTTTACTCTGAGACCTTTAAGCTCTACCTATGCATAGGGTGTCACTGGGTGTTGCTCTGGGGTCAGATGGTAATGACATTTCAGAAAGAAATGAGTTAACTCCTTTCCTCTATGCCAGATGAACACCGGCTGGATACATATATTAGGGGGTTTCCACTGTCATATTACTATTGCTTTGATGAGTGTTCTGACATCCAGAACACCAAGCTTCTTTAACCAATGTACATTCTTGACGGATGCTTGCATGAAGCTAGTCTGTGAGAAATGCACCTGCTGGCTTTTAGGAGATGCTCTTGGAGGAGGTGTGTGCATACTCAGGCATATCAGCAAGGTTGCCTGGTGATATAGGCCTAGATGTCCTACAACTCTGTGACAGTTAAGGCCTCTCCTTTGAACAGTGGGGAAAGCCAGTTGGCTATAGGACACGAGAGGACATTGTCTATGGAGGCTTCCTGGCCAGTGACTCCCTGGAGCTCACACATCGTCTTGTATTTCATCAGCTCCTCAGCCCCCCTGAGGCTTCCCCTGTTCTTCCGTAGTTTACTCTGGCCTTAAACACTAGTGTTCTTCGGGCTTGCTCTGTATTCTCCTCATGGACAGCCTCACCAACACATTGCTTCAGGTTCTGTCTGAAGACTGATAACACTGCATGTGACTCCCATTGCCATTTCCTCTTGGCCAACTCTGGGAAAAGGGTTTCTAGGATATCAGTAAGAGGATGCAGAGGGGACACTCAGAAGAATCTGGGGATGAAATGTCTTCTTTGACTTTGAGCTTGGTTCCAAAGCAAGAGGTACCTGGCTGGATTTTTATGGTTCCTACTAAGGGGACACACTATGTCATATCTGTTTCTCAGAGGGATTTTGATTTCAAAGTTATCTCAAAAAGAGAAATAGGAGAGAAAGAGAGAAAGAAAGAAAGAAAGAAAGAAAGAAAGAAAGAAAGAAAGAAAGGAAAGAAGAAAGAAAAGAAAGAAAGAAAGGATAGAAGGAAAGGAACAGAACAAGCCTGAGTTACTAAATAGGGAATTTTAGATTTGGTGAAATCCTGTTTGGCCTAAGAAGAAGATTCTTGTCTTATATTCCAATGCTTAAGGCATCATGGGAAAACTTTATCTGTTGCCACACTGTGGATTTTAAAAATGCTGTCTATTTATCCTCCCTCCCTCCCTCTCTCATTCTCTTCCTTATTCCCTCTCTTATTCCCTCCCTTACTTTACTCCCTTTTTCCTAAGGCAAACTCTTACTATATATAGCCCCAGCTGGCCTGGCACTCACTGTATAGACCAGGCTGGTATTGAATTCACAGACATCTGTCTTCCTTGCCTTCTGTGTGCTGGGATTAATAGTACATGTCACCATGTCCACATGTTCTTTGCTCTGTTGACCAGGCTGAACAAATCTGGATCTTACAATGCATGTATGTGTGTGCATATATGTATGCATATATGTACAGTTATACATATGTGTATGCATTTGTATATATATGTATATATACATATATATACATATACATATATACATATATATACATATATACATATATATACATATATACATATATATACACAAATGTAAACACATATATATGCACATTTGTATGGATTTGTGTGTGTACATATCACATGTCTTCATCTGTAGCTCACTCAAAATCATATAGTGTCTTGTGGACCTGATATCACCAAAATCCTCCTTCCTTCCTTCCTTCCTTCCTTCCTTCCTTCCTTCCTTCCTTCCTTCCTTCCTTTTTGAGATAGCCTTGAACTAAAGATCTTCCTGTTTCCTCTTAAGACCTGGGATTGTGAATACCACCATGTCTAGCTGCAATCTTAATTTCCACATTCTCCTCCTGGGTCTACTTACTCTCTAGAATGATTCGTAAGGCAGCAGCTGTACTTGTCTCCCCCTGTTCCTGTTTGCTAATCTCTTCATTCTAATTTGTCCCCAGCTCCAACTCTGCCGTAGACTTGCCCAGTTTCTTTGCCTAGACTCATTTTCTGGTGCAGACCACCTTGGCCTATCTCTTGGGTACATGCTGACCTTTCTTTCTGGCTCTTCGAGTCATTCTTTCAAGTTTAATATCCATCAGAAACCAGAGACTCTACTGGAATGTAGGACTGTCCATTCCCCCTTTGCCTTCTTCATTCCTCTCCAGCCTCTGTCTTGAGGACTTTTGAGGCCTCCTGCTGCTCCGAGAAGACCAAGAGTCCCATCTGTTCCCACAAGACCCTGGCATCTTATTCCTCCTCAGTGTCCACCATTCCTGGTTCTGCTTCTCCTGTGCTTGCTTCACATTGGTTCCCAGAAGTTGCCAGAAAATTCTGACGCCTCAGGAACTCACATGCAACAATCCCAAGGAGCCCTTCACTCCACTCTGCCTAACTGTTGCCACTCTTCCCATTCAGTCTGGGGAAGCTCTGGGTAAAGATTCCCACTACATTTGGCACGTTTCTCCTCTATACACATTGTGACTGATGATCCTGATCCTCAGGTGAGAAGTCCCTGTGATTGGGGACCACAGTAGCCTTGTGCACAGTTTCATCTTCAGCATCTCTGAGATACAGTGTGACCTATGGACCATTCTTGGCAGAATGTGCTGAAAGGGTGCATGGATGCATCCCTTACTCAAGGTTATTACTGAAGGCATGGATGGAAGTATAAGGCTTTGGATACTCTGCTTGCTAATCACCTGTTGATCTCCTTCTCCTCCTCCTTCCCATTGTACAGATAAGAAAAGCAAGGTTCTGGGCAGCAACTTTGTAAGATTGCTGCCTCCTCTTCTCATATACCTTCTCCCTAAGGCGTGGTGATTGCTTCTAATCTTTATTTTCTCAGTCCGCTTTTGATAGCAGAGTGTCATTTTGTAAATATTGGATCATGCTAATATGATCTTCTGAGCATTCCTAACAGAGGCATTCGATAGTGATCACTGTAATGAGCCCGTCAGGAGGCTCCTCCTGTGGATCTCAGCAGCAATGCATGCTGCTTAGGCTGAGAGGCATGGAAGCGAATTTGGATGAGCAGAAACTGTTGTGGTGGACAGTGGCTGAAATCTTACTTGTGTTCTATAGTCCAGTCGTTTCTATCTCCTCTGGAATCTAGCTTGAGTCTGTTTATTCAAGACATCTGCCACCATTTATTGATTCCCCCTCTGTGACAAGCTCTGTATCATACTTGGCCTGGGCGAATCGGATCATGTTACTTTGGAGCTTAATCTCTTTAGTGGCTTGGCCCTTAAGCAGACTGTGATTCACATACTGTTAGGCCTAACTGGGCTATCTAGTATCTTTTATAAGCACTACTTCTTACCTCTCAGTGTTCCCGATGCCTTGGCTAGTTTTGATGATTGGACATGTCATATTCTGTCCTGATTTAGGATCTTTGAACATGTTCCTCCTGCTCACTGGAATGCCTTTCTCTACATTGGACCATTTTCTTCAAGTCTCAGGTCATGTAACCTCCCATAGAAACCTTTCCTCAGTGCAGAACTCAAGAAGGTTTTTATGGATGCCTACTTACAGCATCCAATTCTTAGCTTTCAAAGCCCTTGTTATAGACCCAGTGTTAGCTTTGTAACTGCTGCAAGAAAATACCCAGGAGAAACAACATAAAGAAAGAAACATTGATTTGGGCTCATGGTTTTGGAGGGTTCATGCCAAGGAGAGATGGGTACATGGCTTTGGAAGGACCTACTGTCCAGCAGAACACCATGGCAGCGAGGGTGTGAGACAGAGGATCTCTTTCTTTTCAGAAACCAGGAAGTAAAAAGACAGACAGACAGACAGACAGACAGACAGACAGGGGAGGGAGGGAAAGAGAGAGAGGGAGGGAGGGAGAGAGAGAGAGAGAGAGAGAGAGAGAGAGAGAGAGAGAGAGAGAGAGAGA